CCAACATGTTATTTTTAATTATTCTTGCACTTATATTTTCTATTGACACAGATCTTTTAAGTCCATCTGGTTCGTACCTCACTGTCCATGCTGGGATGGATCACCTCCCAGCTCTGAGAGTCCACATCGTAGGAGTGCAGTTCGTTGGGTAAAGTGTTGTCAGCCGCTCCTCCAAATACATACAGGTGGCGATCAAAGGCAACCATAGTGTGGCCGTAACGTCTCTGCGGAGGGGGAGGGGAGCCTCGCAGGAGGTGTTCAGTCGGGATGCGTGTCCACCTGATGAGATTGATTAATGGTTGGTCCAATTAAACAACTACAGGAGGCGTGACTGAGGTGAGTCGTAGCAAAGGGTGTACTCACATGTGGCCCTTGAACTCAAACTGGAAGAGGTTGTTGGTGATCTTGGCTCCACTCTGACCAGAAAACACAAACATCTTGTTCCTGCATACGGCTACAGGGAAGTTGCAGCACGAAGGAGGAATCTCCCACTCTGTTCGATCTGATGGCACAAAGGCAGAGACTTTAACACATACTGTACAGTGATGGGAAACTTTATTGTTCTTTCTGTCATAATGTATTATACTTGCCTCCTCCCAACACGCATGTTCTCGATCTTGCAGATTGATGGTCCACATGTCATTCAGCCTGAACAAGGGGGAAATGTCTGTCAATGTTATATGCAAAAAAAGAGTTTTGTGAATTGTGAAAAACACTAATAATATGTTAAACATACCTAGCATTTCCATCATAGCCAGCAAATATCCACAGTTTATCACTATAGACCGTGGCCCCATGTGCAGACCGTGCCACTGGCAAGCTGAAACAGAGATAAAGGACATTAGGGCTGAATTCTGAGATTGAATATGCTTAGTTTTAGGTTATCACATAGATGTAATGCCCCCAAACATTTCAAAATGGCTGTGTTTCCGGGTGTAAGGAAGACACTACTCCCAGCAATGTAAGGTGAACAAGGTCTTGCACTGAGGACAGTTCATTATACAAACTGAACCAGACACATGGAGAGGGAACACAACAAAATCAGCAACTGTCATTGAATAAGGAAATATAATAATATATCATAAAAACACAACTTGATCATATTAGAAAATACTAAACAGTACCTCCCCTCCACTTTCCATTCAGTCCACTGCCCTGTCGCAAACTTGTACTCAAAAAGGTCATTTTTGTTTTTCAGGTTTGAGTTTGAGTAGATGTCTCCGGTGTAGCCCCCTGAAAAATATGAGGTCACGCATCAATACCACCTGAATTCAAAATGGCTTTACCCAATTCATTATTGTATTATAAAGAAATACGGGTTACCAAAAACAAACATGCTGCTGCCATAGACGACAGCTGAATGGTGATATCTGGGAGCAGGAGGAGTTCCAGTGGTGAAGGCTCTGTCGTGAATATCACACAACAGTCAATACATCATATTCAACAGCCTGTAGTTCTTTTATTTGCTCATTTAAGTTGCACGAGTGTTTTTGCTGCAATCTCACCGACACCATGAGCAGTCCTTCACATCAAAGCGGAGCAAGTCGTTCAGCATGTTCTTCCTATTTAGAAAGACAAAATATAAACCCATGTGATGAAGTGAACAGTACCTATAAAGGAGAAATGCTTGCCACTGACAATCTCTACTCACCCATTATCTCCCCCAAACACATAAATGGCATCCCTGTATGCCACAACAGTGTGCTTACTGCGCCTATATATAACAGAAGAAGTTGAGGATGAATACAATGCTGAACGTGTGCAGATTAAGCCGGTGAAGTCAGATAAAGCTGCACCTACTCATCTGTCAACATGTTACCTTGCACCAACAAACTCATCACATGGAGGGAGTCTTCTCCAGCGATGAACTGTCTCATAAGGGCCAAAGTTGAGCGTCAGATATTCCACGCTGTCGGAGCAACTGTGGTCGAAATCAACACTCGGGGCCACTTTGGTTGATTTACAGGACATTGTTGCTAACTCATCCGTCTGAATCACTTCTCAGGGCCACTCATCTGCAGGGAAATGCACAGTTAACGCCATGCTTAAAAGTCACCCGTCCATCATGAGAGATAGTGTTATTGCAATCCTGAATTACCTTTAACATAACACTTAAGTCTGCTTAATAACGTAGAAGGATTATGGTCTTCCGGCTAACAGTTAGCGATGCTACAAACTAACATTAGCCGCATAGCTAGCTTTGTGCTAATCTGTAAAACAAGCAACAGCTAACAGTTACAACAGACGAGAAGACGAGAGCTAACGGATACCAAGGTTACATTAACATGTCTGCCTGACCAGGTTCAACATTAAAGCTAGTATTTATGCGATGAGAATGAGTTCGCAACAAGGCACTAATAGCCACAAAAGCTAACGTTCAACTAGCAAAACAAAAGTGCTGTCATTAAAGAGCACGACCACGCCTCCGAGCGTGAGACGATGAATAATAATAAGTATGTCACTTCCTGTCATGGATCTGTAGTTCCAAGCAGAGCCCTATGCTGAGCTGCAATATAATATAGACAGCTAATAATCAACAGATTCACAAGGACTTTATATGGCTCACCCATAAGTTACGTTTTTGTTTACAGTTTTGGAAGTCTCAAATATCACCATAATCCATATCAATAGCGATGTATCACACAAATAGCTCTCTTCCTTATCAGGGCCGGATCTAGACAAATATCCATGGGGTGGCAAGAGGGTGGCAGGAGAATTTGAGGGGTGGCATCCCCTGGCAGAAGTATATGCTGATTTAATCGCAGTCATATCAATCAATGTTAACTTGGAAAGCCACAATATTAATATGTTAACTCAATAACATTAGGTGAGATTATTGTGGCACATCAGTAAAGCCATAAATATAACTACATAAGGTGGCAGACGTAATTTAATGAATTTTAACTGAATGAGTTGGTTTCACTCTTAGACCAGCAGGGGTACAAAATCTATGCAGACAGCTGCAATAAGTAGGCTACATTAATTAACTGTCTCATCGATGTGTGTCTGTATGAATATGATACTATTAATAATCATATTATTCCTATCAGCTGTCAATCATGTTATGATTCACATATTCAGTGTTATTATTAAATAAACTATATTTTTTGGAGGAGTTAATGATGAATGTTCCTCAAGATGCTTGCTCACCCTCAAGTAATTACTATCATAAATCAAAATAATCAAAAGAACAGTTCAGCGCCCCACGACTTCATTGCAAACAATTACAACCTTGACTTTACATCAGAAAGAACAAACATTAAAGAAGTGACTAACTGCATCAGTTAGGGTTAAAAAACGTGTATTCAGCTAAAACATATACATCGCTGCAGTTATTATCCAGTGGAAAGTCCTTACCTACTGGCCAGTTAAATCAAAGTGGTTACTTTCTGTTGGCTGGGCAGTGAAGTTTTACACACCGTCTTATTTGACTTTCTCAGGACTTGAAACAGTTTTTGGGGGCAGAACCCCACAAAGAAGAAAAATATTATGCACACGTAAGGTCAACATCTTAACAGTTTGTTATTCTCATCGACTCATCCGTGAGCAGAGCATCAAGTTGGCGTGCCTATAACAGCTGAATGTGGCGTTTACTATCTTAATCAGCAAAACGCCTCACAAACGATTTAAAGCTATGGTGCGTTTTGATTCAATGCTGAGTACAGCCAAACTTGACAGGCTCTTCTCTGTCATTGTAGACCGCAAACAGTGGCGGCGCCAGAGTATTTTTGTTGGGTAATCTATGGTAGGGCTAACCCATACAGTGGTGGGGCTCAAGTCAGTATTTGCAATGTAATTACATACACGCTCCCCTTGACAGTGAAACGCCACGCGTGAGGTTTAGATTATTTCCCTGTCTCAATCCAAATTGAACTGTATGAAATAAAAAGGCACATTTGTCTTGTAGTAAAAAAAAGGGCGACCTGGAGCCAATCCTGCAATTTCCCCACAGGTGAAAGAGTTGACATGCTGAAAACCCAACCCCTGCAGGGGGGTCTGGGGGATTCTCCCCAGGAGATTTTTTGAAATACTAACATAAAATACACATTCTGGTACTCTCTTGAGAAGAAAAATGAATAAATCTATTACTCCACGACATATTTAAAAAAATGAATGCCATTTTAGTTTATTGTTACTTTGTTCTGAAAGCTGAACCTGCTGCTCCTCACAGAGGGAAGAGGGAAGAGGCTGTGAATTACTTTACTTTGTGGATAAGGGTGGATAGCCTCCATTGTTCTGTGTGTCAAAATGAAAGACAGCCCACACACACCTATCATATCATCAAACCGTGGGGTCTTATTTCATTACGTGTTGATTTCTATCAACGTTAAGAAATCACTCCTGCTTGGACTTTTTCACATTTATTCTTGCAAGAGTAGTATATTAATGGGTCAAACAATCATCAGCAAGTCCTACTTTTGATTATTATCTGCAACCCAAACTAATTTCAACATAACTGAACCTCTTACATTTGTTTCCCAATGGACACTGGTTTACCTACTTAAGATTTGGTGGTATGGATATTTTTTCAGCCTGTACTAAGATGGTGATAGCCATTTACATTTATACACAATGAGGTAACGACACTCTTACTACTTTATATACATACAGTATTAAGGAGGAAACACTTTATACTATACTCTTGCAATATTGCAATATCACATGTAATTTTCACTTTACTTTTAGGATGCTAAGATGATCATGTATTGCCAAGAGTATTGGGAAGCAGTATGGAGGGAAACATCAGTAAGTTACAGTACAAGTAACTTATAACTAAATGACAAAACATGATTCACAAAATATTCAATGCATAAAAATACAGAATAAATGTATATACTACATATAGATGTGTGTGTGTGTGTTGTGTGTGTGTGTGTGTGTGTGTGTGTGTGTGTGTGTTGGTGTGTGTGTGTTTGTGTGTGTGTGATTGTGTTGTGTGTGTGTGTGTGTGTGTGTGTGTGTGTGTGTGTGTGTGTGTGTGTGTGTGTGTTGTGTGTGTGTGTGTGTGTGTGTGTGTGTGTGTGTTGGACAGACATTAAGAAATACATTAGTAAAAGAGTACATAAACAGGAACAACATTGATGTCATCCTAAATTAAATCCTTTTACTTCTGCAGGCTGTGATTAATGAGGCAGGTGTAAAACACATGTAGCTTAACACTGTGAGTCATGGCCACAGGGCTTTTCTAGATAGGGTAAACATTCACTTGGCTGACAATTAATTTTCGTTTGTCTCTCTATGCAGCAACCTTCCAAAATCTCATTCAATCTACTTGCAAAGACACCTGGCAAGGCTGACTGATATTAGTGTAACACTGTGGTATCAGAAGAAAGGATAATTGGCTACAAACCCTGAAGAAGCCAAAAATGTTGTTTTATATAGCCAACAAAAAGTCAACATACATCTGATCCTTTTAAAAACTGATAAGCTAAACAAATCTTCAGAAAAATGGTCATCTTGATTGCTTACATACTTTCCTATTTATTGATTTCTTTACTCATCAGACCTTTTTCATGACAGATATTTTGACATGTTGCTGCACGAGATGCACAGGTGTATTACATATTAATAACGTTGGCTACATTTGAGCAGCTCTGGAATCATTAAGATTATTAATTCCACCTGTGTTTTCCTTGTAATGACAAGTATAAAGGTCAATCATTCTTTAACTATTTTCTAAATGATGTCTGATCTTGTCCTCCACAGACACACACGTGGGTTGTACTCTACATCTCACTATTTGCACATCTGTATTTTAGCCCTTAGTGGGCATTCAGTCTCTTTGAACTTAAATATGCTAACTTTCGGGGATGCACATCAAATCATTAAAACAATATTTAGCTCAGAGAGATAACATTATTTTTACCAAACACCCTTAATAATAGCAGGGATGGCTATTTTTATTTCCTTAAAGATATGAACTTTATAGTTCACTTATCCACTCCACTAGAACAATCTGAGAGAAAGAAAATACTACAATACCTAACAATACGAGGCCTAATCTGCGAGTAGCAAACAGGTTCAATACTTGTACATTGTAGGTCTACAGTTTCATTTTTAGTTGAGCACCCATCAGGTACACTACAGTGCACAATCAAATGAATTCAAGTCAATGAACACATTTCAATAAAATGAGACAAGGATGGAATGTGTCAGAAACTTCAAACTTGTCATGTTATCATCCACACAGTCAGATTCCTCTTTTTCAAATACAGTCTGTCAGGGTTGAATTGGCCCCTCTCGCTCACATGTCTAGTCACCAGTTGATGATATCTCTGACATGGCCCCAAAGCTTGGTGATCCACAGGTTAACCCCCGAGCTCTGTTAAGTACTGAAGCTCTGGCATCAACATCTTTCGGCACAACTTCCGATGTGCCTTGTCCACATTCTTCTTAAGGTTGTAGCCCATGATGGACTTCTCTCCGATGGGCTGCCAGGGCTGCATGGCTGTCCTCCTGGATGCTGCCTGCTTCTACAGCTCGCCCCCCCTCGATGCAGATGGATGCCATCTCTGCGTTCCTTCTCCTGAGCTCTGCCACATCCTCAGCCATTCCCGCTGCCGTCCATACGCATCTACTTTCTTCCAAAAAAGTCTGGTTGAGATGCTGGTATAGTTTCCCAGTCAATAGCGTTCCACTCAAGAGCCTTGGCCCTCAATTCTGGGGTGAGTTTAGACACAGTGGATCCCTTACGGGCGTTGAGCTTGAAGAAGAGCACGTCGTCCATCTCCCAGCAGAGGGCATCCTTAAGCAGGATGAGTGATTCCTCAAAGTGCTCCACTAACATGACAAGCTGGAAACGGTCCATGATGAATCTGATTCCATGTTCTACACGGGGATCATCCAGCTTCAGAGTGTTGTCCAGTCCAAAGTCGAAAAAAGAAGATTCTTGAGGTAAAAGGAGTTGAAGCCCTCAGGGTCAAAGTAGTGATGGGGCTCACGCAGAAAACTCTGTCAGCTTCTCATCCCCTGGTATCTTCCAGGTGAAAGGTACCAGCTTGCCAAAGTAGTGGAAGAGGACTCAAAAAGCTCTGCAGGGTCTCGCAGGATAGTGATGTAGGAGGTTGTCCATAGGTAACAGCTTGGCCACCTCGGGTGCGTTAAAACGCAAGGTGATTACAGATAATATTAAAGCACATTCCAGGCCTGTAGTCTTTAACCTGGGAACGCTGGAAAACAGACGGATAAAAGAAGTCATTTCTGCTGTCAGGGAAGGCAAATTTGAGCTGGTGCTTTTCCCCGAAGCGGAAAAGGATGTTGAGGAACGTGCTGCTGGCTGTTTTGTGGGTCTTCATGAACATGATGTCCACTTTAGGAGTGCAGGTCTGGCCAGAGGCTTGTTGTGAGCGGAGCTGGGATGGACGGTGGGCACAGGAGTAAGGCACTGGTACCCTGCAGACAGGAAAACAATCAAATGATAAATGTGATGATACATGTGATGATAATGATGTGGAAATGTACTCTTACACAATACAAAGAAAAGCGGCAAACCACCACATTTGAGACGTTGGAGTAAAACATTTTTAAATGTTTGGCTAGATTGACTGAAATGCCCTAAATACTCACAAACACATAGGACTAGACACACTGTATACACTATATGTGACTCAAAATAATAAAAATAATCTAAAGAGTAAGAGTAAACCTACATATAAAATAACTTATCGAACTTAGACTTACTTAAAATTAACCTTAAAAAACATACATTATAATTGTCACAGCTCTAAAATACAAATGCTGAATAAATTGGACATAAAGATATTTTTTACATCATGTTTTCTAGAGAATACATGAACACCAGTGTGATGAGTCTTACTCAGGCAGACTGAAGTGGGTCTGGGGAGTGGAGAGGCAGTAAAGCAGGATCATGCAGCTGGTGAGGAGGGTCCCCAGCACCAGGCCTTTGCACACGGACCTCCACTGCCGCCCTTGTCTGACAGGCCATGGTCCAGCAGAATCAGGATGACCTTTTAAAACATTAAAACATCATCTACACGGTGAGCATTGACCTATAGGCCCTCAGTTACTCTGAGAAGGACACAAGAAAACCACAATTATGTGCATTATATATCTCGGGCAAGCTTGAAAGGACACAGTGACACCGCTTAAATGATTTATTCAGATGGTGACTTGGAAGTAAATGATAGTGTTGAGTGACCATATAGATTACTATCAGTGTTCTATGGTTTCTTAAGGAGGAGACAAAATAACCTGAGGCCAGATTAATTATAAATCCAATGGTATAGCCTAAAATGTAATATATAAGGTTTCCATTCAGCTTCATGGTGATTTAAGTATTATGTTATATAGTACAGTGCTGTCATCAGGTGGACTATACTGTATGTTAAGGTGCTCATGAATATTTACCAACAGGAAGCCAGTGTGTGTGAGACACAGTTGGACAGTTAGCCTCATTCCACTTGACTGTCCACTTCATAAACATTTCAAACACAGGATGTACTTAAAATTGCATGGTGAGCTACATTATGACATACTGTATGTGCGGCCTGCAATGACCAACCCTTTGTTGCTCAGCTGTCACATTAAATAAATAATACATTACTGTGGAAAGTGATATTGCAGTCCCCCCCTGCGGACTGCCGCCAGGTAACAAAGTGACACTGACCACCAAGAAGTTTCATTATTATTTGACCTAATGTGACCCCACACATAGCAGGTTGGGAAGGTGTACTGTTTTCAATTGCAAAGTTTAGAGTTTATCAATATTTCTTTTTGAATGTTAACATTTTTAAGGGAAAATCAGTTAAAGCATAGTTTTTTCAGAATTTAAACATTGTGCATTTTTTCCGTTTTTCTTGCCATTTCTAGGTGTCTGGGTTTAGAGCTGTGCATGTTGCCCATCATATGTTATGGTGTTTTAGACAGGTTTCTTTTTTGGAAAGTAACAGTTACCAAAATCAAAAATGTTCATCCATGATCACGCTTGTTAATGACACACCAAAGTGTTTATGAATCGATAATAGATTATAACTATGATAGGCTTTTGACCTTTTGAAATATCCATCCTTAATCCCAGTCTAGTTTTAAGTATGTATGGAGTCTATTTTTGGTGTCCAGTGTGTCATTTATTATTTATTTCTGAATTTAGTTCACCTTTGGTTTAAGGTCTCAAGCTTCCATGTCGTTTTGCATTACTCTGTGCCCCTTAGTCCTATGAACTGTAGTGTTACATTTTACTTTCACTCTTATAGTCAGAGCATTTTAGAAACATTACTCTCCAAACACAGCTAAAAGGGATATTTCTGCTCTTTGTCTGGACTCCATGAAGGGGCTATTATGGAGGCATGTGAGAGCTCTTTCTCTCTGACATCAGAAGACACTCTGTTGTGAGACATTTGAGGAAAGGGCTATAGCTTAGGTGGCCAGCAAATGTAGAGTGAATTCTAAGTAACATTAACTCCTGCTGCAATGATATGCTTGCAACAACCTTCAAAGCTGAGATACCATTGGACAAATATCAGGCAGTGTTACTTTTGATATCAGTGTATCATTGTTTGCTTACTTTTGTATTTTTACTTGAATACTTTGTCCACCTCTGATGTGATCTGAAGCTATCTTGTTTTCCTGCTAACAAAGACCATTATGAGTATAACAAAGCAGATGATAATCTTGAAGAAAGCTAATTACAAACAAAAGACTGGAAGATGTCTTACCTTCATACATAGATCCAAAGAGAAACTAAAGGAAGTGTTTGTCCCACTGCATTGTCCTTTTCCTTTGCATCCAGGGTCAGACCACTAATATATGATCTCCCTCCTCCAGATGTACTTCTTGAGTCTGACCTCAACATACACATAGTGCTGTGGCAGTCCCGCACTCCCCTTATCATTTGCCTAGTGCTACTGAGCTCATTCACCTGCTTCTCTTCTCCGCTTTCCCCCTGCGTCTCTGCATGAACACCTGATGCCTCGGGCCACCTGCCGCCTCCCCCTTTAACTTTCAATTCCAAAAAGTGATCTTGCTGAATTAAGCTCTGCAGGGAGGCTCATCTCCCGCTTGTGACGTCAAGGCCTCTGTCAGGGGACCAGCACTTGCCAGTGAGTGTAATAAAGGAGGGGAGGGAGGAGAAAGGCTGTATTGTCCCCATTCTCTGTCTACATACAGAGGGCTTATTGAGGATAGACACTGAAGTCTGAGCTGCAAGCTGATAGGTGGGATGGAAAACAGCATAAAACGAACAAATGCATAAAGCCAAAGCACAAAGGCTCTAATTGTACCACTTGATCAGTACAACTCCGCTCGTGTCTGTATTGTTTATAAAGCTTATTAAGAAAGCTACATGCTGTGAGAGGAATGTACAATGGACAGTTATAAGTCTGCACCACAGATTAACCAAATATCTAAACAAATTGAGCAACATACACGCACTGGACTTCCACATCACAATACTGTGTATGTGATTTTTTTTTTTTAAATAATGTATTAACTAGCTCTTCTAATCTTTTATGCATTTTTAAGTTATTTTTAACTGTGGTCTACAAGTTATGATGCGATCGTTTTGAAACTCTCAATACAATCCCTTGTTCAAGATAGCAGACCGTTCAATAGAGAGTGAATGAACATTCAATCATGAGTGCCAAGTCTATTTGGCTCTGCTAGGCAGGATGTGGCAGTATGTGGTCATAACGTTTCATCCATTAAAGTGTGGATCCAAGTCTCGGGAGCGTGCAATGGATTCGTGCAGCTCATCCCACACTCACCATTCTCCAGCACGACACTGATGCTTTTGTTCGGTCTAACAGGGTGTGCCTTGGTCTGCAGGCACACTGAGTGCCAGGCTGAAACCCGGACTGGGTGGGCATACGTAGAATTTAGATCAGGGTGAGAGGGGGCAGGGAGTGTGACAAGCCGAATGAGGAGATTGAGGAGAACGGCCCACCTTGATCACTGCAGCGTCTCAAGAGGGCAGAGGTTAAAGCTCCTTTGTCATCAACACCCACTGCCCATGTGTGGACTACTCACTGAAGACGAGCCCCCCCCCCCCCGACAGCAGCAGTGACCTCAGCCTCCACACAGATGTGGCTAAGGGACATTCTGTATCTGACATTTTGAGTAGGATCTCCTTTGATCCAAAAACAGCCGTTTGTAGTTACAACCCCAGGTGACTCATCTGCTAGTTAAGAGACTGAAGGCTATATTATTTATCAGTTTCTACATCTTCAGTAGACTCGACTACTGTAATGGTGTCTTCACAGGTCTCACTAAAAAATCTATTAGAAAGCTGCAGTTAATTCAGAAAGCCGCCGCTCGAGTCCTCACTAACACTAATACCTCATTCACACCAACGCAACTCCGGTTCAAGCTCCGTGCTAGAGCTTTTCAGGTTCAGAACCAGTTCTTCGGTTTCGCTCTGGCTCTTTTCACCACCGCCCAGAGTCCGACTGACTGGTAATGCGTCGTTGCGTCATCGTTTGCGTCATGACGTAACCGTTTGCGTGCCTGCTTCATAAAGCCAAAACCGCGCGGATGAAATCAGTTGCATTCATTTCTTATGGCTCTATCTGCAGCTTTTCCGGAGTCATTTCTGTGGTTTAGTTATATTCTTATAAAAAAGTGTACTCGTGTCAATAAAGGTTTTTTAAAACACAACTGCTTCCGAGGTCGGTCTTATTTCTTAAGGTGGACTGAACCATGAATGTGGAGTAACGTTGTATCTTTCATTTAAATGAACTGTAACCTTCACCCAGGTATGTAACAGCTGTTCTCAAATGAACACGTGAAGTAAAGTTTAATATTTATAGTTTTATAGATTTATAATGAGTATTAATGAGAGGTGATCAACGTGAATGCTCAGGTTCCACCTTAACACGCAGACACGTTGCTTCACCATGAGCAGAAACCTTTATATATAGTCTATGGCAGAAACACTGAAACTCTTAAGTTTCTCCATCGTTGTGTACAAACCAAAACGCGGGCTTTTTGTTGTTGTTCAGGAGTTGCCCACGCCTCGACGTAAGCGTGACGTATGTGGTGCTTTTGCTCTGGCCGGACAATTTTTTGGTGCTTGAAACGAACCGGATTCCGGAGCTAAGAGGCTGCTCCGCTGCGGTGTGAAGAGGAAAACCCGGTGCTTTTCAAGCTCCAGCTCCGAACCGGCCCTGAAACACCGTTGGTGTGAATGAGGTATAAGAAAGTGGATCACATCACTCCAGTTCTGAAGTCTTTACACTGGCTTCCTGTGTGTCAAATAATTGATTTCAAAAATATTGCTGCTGGTTTATAAAGCTTTGAATGGTTTAGGTCCAAAATACATTTCTGCCCTCCTGCTGAATGATAAACCATCCAGATCTCTCAGGTCTTCTGGGACTGGTCAGCTTTCTGTCCCCAGTCAGAACTAAACGGAGAAGCAGCGTTCAGTTATTATGCTCCAAATATCTGGAACAAACTCCCAGAAACCTGCAGGTCTGCTGCAACTCTGATTACTTTTAAATCCAGGCTGAAGACTTGTCTTTTGTTGCTTTAACTTTTATTCATGTATTTTTTTCTTTTAATGTTTATTTGATTATCTTTGCTTTTTAAATGCTATTTTCTGAATGTCTTTCATTTTTGTAAGCACTCTGAATTGCCTTGTGTTGAAAGGTGCTATATAAATAAACTTGCATCAATTATTTTCCTCCTCTCCTCATGTCTATATTTCTCCCACCTGAGACACGAGCGGAGGAGGTAAGACGTGGCTTCATATATTCAAGCACCGTGTCTTCACTCTTCTACATCAGAGCTGTTAAGGCTACCAAAGAGTGCACAAGGGCATTCTCATTGATAGTTCAAGTAAGAAACTATAAAGGAGATGAAGCACAAAATACACTTCAGAGCCTTAACTGGTCATCAGCATAATAATACTCGGGGAAGGAATACACCACTTAACAGCTAGAAACCTCATTTATCATTTTTTAAGATCACAAGTAACAGGATTTTTAATTTGTGTTTTTACTTTAAAATAAAGACCATTTACATGAACAGCTTGAACAACTAAGTGGAAGAAATAAATTGTGTAATGTAAAACAGTTCTTACAAACAAAAGGCAAAAAGTCACTTACATTATTAATAACACAATGAGCATATGCCACATCCTGCATTTCTTCTTGAACTTGAAGGTCAACGCATCAGGTGCATCAAACTCACACACAGGATTACAGGAAATCTCAACCTGTAATACACTCTGCCTCAAGAATGTAAATACACAAAGTCAATCTGCTAAATACATGATCAGACGATTCATTTGTTGGCCTTTGTCTTCTTCTTTGATTTTTCAGCATCATCGTGGGCCTTCCTCTTGGCAGTCAGCTTGTTAGCCTGTAAGAGAAAACAAAAGAGATTTAGACTCAAACTCGAATATACTCTGCACACTAGAATAATGTTAAATGAGAGTCAGATACCGAAAGGATCCAAAGTTATTTCCATACATATAAATGAATAATAAAAACTGAACGTACCTCTCGAACTTTTCTCTTTTTTCCAAACATGATCTTGTCGTACAGGTACTTTTCCTTTTTCTTCATCATCATGATGGCGAGACGTTTTTCCTCGGCCTTCTCCTCCTGCTCCAAGCGTTCTGGGTTTTCCACCTTCACTTTCCCAGCTGTCACTTTGACCGACAGGTTCTAAAAGACAGAGACGAGTTGATGAAACACCACCCTTAGTGTGACCGGGAAAATACACGAGTTCAAAGGAAAAGAGGTCAAACGTCTCTTACCTTTCCCTGGGATCTTTGTTTCTCCATCTTCTTCAGATTATTCTCTTCTTCTTCCTCTTCTTCATCTTCCTCTTCTTCCTCATCTTCCTCTTCGTCGTCGTCCTCCTCCTCCTCCTCCTCCTCTTCCTGGGCTGTGATGGAAGTTAAATATGTGAATGATGTGTCCATGGACTCTGAATTATTATGCATCCTTTTTAGGCTTAATGATCTGATCAATAGAAACTTTTATTCCTAATCAAACATATTGAACCTAAAATGTCACCTAGTTTATGAAAGCTGCAGCCAAGAGCAGTGACCTGTGTGTGATCACAGTGTGACTGCTGATTGGGAGTTCATTACACTGACATCCTGATTATAAACCGCTGTGATTTAGGGATGCTCCGATCGCCAATTTTGGGGCCGATCGCCGATATCAGTATCGGCCGATACCGATCGCCGATCCGATCGAGTGGGCGGGGCCTATGGGGATCTTCCATTTAAAGCAGTGTTTCTCAAACTTTTTCATACCAAGGACCACTTAACCAATTAAAAAAACACTCGGACCACCTAACTCCACAAACGTCCAAAAACACATAATTTTTCTAGAACAGATTACAAATCGCCTGAACATGGTACAAACAAGTGGCAACATGTGTGATGAAGGTGTTGCGCTGGGCTATATCATGCAATCGAAAGTGAAACTTAAGCTTGCTCCATTGCGGAGATATCCCTGCGAGAGTGCGGAAAACTTAAATAAATACATTTATTTAAATTGTGAAATGTTACCAATATACTCACGGACCACTAGGGGGCGCTCACGGACCACTAGGGGGCGCTCACGGACCACCAGTGGTCCGCGGACCACACTTTGAGAAGCACTGATTTAAAGTGATGTTTACAACTCAGTTAATGGGGCTCATTCACTGGCGCTTCCACAAACAACAACCAACATAATTATTACATTCAAATGATGTACATTATTCAAGTTTACATTCACTTTGGAGAATAACACGGGAGAAATGAGCGGAAGCGCTCTCTTTTCCTCTCTCTCTCTCCTCTCCCAGCCCGTCAGTATCTCATGCAGCTCACTGATCCAGTAATGAGTGACCCGACAGTGAAGAATAATATTTTTATAACTAGTTTAGCTTGTTCCAGAGGTAGATAAAATAGCTAAGTGTGTTAGGTCTAACTCTTAGTGTGTGTGTTTCGCTCCGCTCACCGGTCCGTCACAGCGGGTGGAGCAGCAGGATTTCTGCTTCACACACACGTTGCATACCGCTATTTTACTGTCTTTTTCGGACACCTTCAAATACTGCCAGACCCGTGAAGCCATTTTGGCGAGCTTGCCGCGCACAGAGAAAAGTGTCATGTATTTTGCTCTCGCAAACAGCATTTTTAGAGAGCACCGATCGATCGGCAGAGAGTGAGTATCGGTCGATATTGATCGGCGGCCGATCAATCGGAGCATCCCTACTGTGATTCAATGCTGGGACACAATACAAATATATTTATAAGTATGGTATCGAAGAGAAATTACCAGGTTTTTCTCCTCGTTGTAACGCCATGATCTTTAGTTTTTCAGGGGGCACGTAGTCTCCGTCCTTCTCCTCAACGAAGGGAGAGAGGTGAGGCGGCAGAGTCACTCCAAGGAAGTAGTCCTCCACAGGCAGGACGATTTTAGCATTGACACAATCGAACACCCACTGGGGCTGGATGTAGTACCTAAAAGCAAAGTATAGTAAAACAGCATGTCATATTTTCAGAAATTGTGAGGACTTTCCCTTTCTGCTTAAAAAACACATAAGGGGGGGGGGGGGGGGGGGGGGGCAGGCATGACAGAAACAATGTGACCCTTTAAAAACACGATGAAGAAGGTTGTTTTGAGGAAGCAGCGGAAGCATGACCCTGAAAGGAGCCATTGTGGAGGAGATGAAGTGTACAGAATAGACTTTGCGTATTTAGCATTCAGAAATACACAGAATCAAATTGGTTGCACAGAAACATGTGTTCCACGTTAAAAATAAAGAGCTTACATTTCTTGACTTAGACGTGTGTTAGATCCACCATTCATTTACCTGTTAATATACTGTTTGTCAACGTTGGGTCTGTCAACAACTTGATGCGTGATGCTCTCATCCGTCACCTCGTACGTGCTGCCGATGCAAACAGACTTGTCCCAGGACACTTCACCACCAAAACACCTGGAAGGCAGCGGCAGCAACAAATCAGTTTTAGGTCTAAATATGTTTCCTTGTAAATGTCTTGGACTATCCGGAGGTTCCCTGCAGCTGTCACTCACCTGATGAGAAAAGCCAACGGCTCTCTGGGCACTTCTCGGTTGAGGAAGAACTTGTGCCCCTCAAGAAGTTTTTTCTGAGCTTCCTGCTCTTTCTGTTCCCTTTCTCTGGCCTCCATCTTTTCCATGTCCTCCTGAAGAAGTAAAAGAAAACATTTGTTGGAGTATTAGAAAGCCACTGTTATAAGACTTTTGTTTGATCAGGGACGATCAGCAACATAAATAACGTTGTGATATTCCCCCTCTTGCTGTTGGATGGTTGTTCATCTTAGAACCAGCTGGGCTCATGTT